GGGGGGGGGGGGGGGGGGGGGGGGAAGATGGTGGGCATGTAGGTCCAACGCTCTAGAAGTTATCATTTAAGGGAGACAGTGGAAAACCATTCATGAAAAACAATGCCATTATTCACATGTTTCTCTTTATGGCTTCAAAATAACTTTTTTTCTTTGTTTACTTTCAAAGCAATGACTGACATGACATACATTTCACATATGTTTTTTTTTTCTTTTTCAAGTAACATACTTTTTATTTTTGTGTTAATATTTGATGCTCGATATTCAAATTAAAGTTCAAAACATTATGTAATCTTGATTCATTTATTTATATATATATATATATAGATATATATATTATTTGAATGTAATATTGCAATAAATTATTAATATTTAAAAATAATAATAAAGGTCTACACTTTTGATTTTATTTAATAAGTTCATTTGAAAAAAATATATCGAATAGTTCATTGAGTGTGATACTTAAAGTAAATGAGTGGTACGTGAATGAATTGAGAAATGAAAGTGATGTTAAGGTTAGGTTGACTAAAAAAAGTTTAAAAAGATTAAAGTTACTACCAATACTAATTAGGTATACATTTCATTAAGAATTTTGTGGATGAACATGCTTTATTTAGTGCAATTTCGTGAGATCCCACGTCCATTAGAGAGGGAAATGAGTGTTAGCAAGAATGCTGGGCCTCGAATGGGTAGATTGTGAGATTTCACGTCGGTTGAAAAAATAACGATACATTATTTACAAGGGTGTGGAAACCTTTTCTTAGCAGACTCGTTTTAAAATAGTGAGACTGACAGCGATACGTAACACGTCAAAAAAGACAATATTTGCTGACGGTAGACTTGGACTATTACAAATGATATTAGAACCCGTCACCAGACCATGTAGGTCATTGGTTGTAGTAGGGTTAAAACGGACAATATTTGCTAACAGGGATTTGAGCTAAGTTACCTCCTAAAAGTTTTTTTTGGGATGTATGTAAGTGAGAACAAATTATACTGAAATGAGTCTTATTCACTCTTAAGAATTAGGAGTAAGTAACGTGACTATGTCGCAGAAAATGGAAGGAAATGTCGGACCGGACCATCGAGTACGGAATCTTAGACATGAAACATAATAATGATACTCTTTCTTTTTTTTTTTTTAAGAATTTTTGAAGCTAACCTATGCGAGGGGAGAGTTCCCATTTTTGAGAGAGCCCTGAAAAGATGTATGGAGACATTATTTAGTGGTGTGTCCTATCATGGAGTAGTCCAAGAAACATGTCTGTCACGCTCAACTCAAATGAGTCCTGTAAATTAAGGACACATATCTTCCCATACTTCATTAGTAAGGCTAAGAGCAGTGAGTAGTACCTCAACTTTTGCAAACCCTATTGGTCTGTGGGCGGGGAGGAGGAGACACACCTCTGCAAAAAAAAAAAAAAAAAAAAAAAAAAAAAAAAAAAAAANATACTGTCAATGGTAATTATTTTGAGAGAAAAAAAGAATTATGATTAGATTAGGTTAGGTTAATTAATTTGACAAGTGTTGTTTGGATTGAAACAATTATAATCCGAATAAATGGTTAGTTCTAAAAAAATTTCAACCAGACCGTGAGATCTCACATCAATTGGAGAGAGGAATAAGTGTCTGTGACGACGACGTTGTCCTCGAAGTATGGTAGATTGTAAGATCTCACATTAATTGAAGAGGGAACAAAACATTCTTGTATAAGGATGTGAAAACTTCTACTAGCATATGCGTTTTAAAAATCTTGAGTGGAAGTGCAGAAGTATAAATACAAAAAGGACAATATATAGTAGTTATCGAACCGTGGTTTAAAAAAAAAAGACAATATCTCTGCTAATGGGCGTGGAATTAGAGTCCACAAAGAACAATATCTGGTGAGCTTAGGGTAAAAAAAAAAAAAACAATATTTACTTGAGATTTGGGCTAATCCCACTAAAGTTTTTGTTCTCACTATACACAATATAAAGATATCATACTAAAATGAGTATAAATTATATCCATATCTGTCTTAATTATATATCATGAAATTTTATCCAACATGACAATGCCAGGCTTTAATTTTGATTTACGCATATAGTAGCTCAACCTTAGTTATGTTTTTGTCCTTCATGCAATTTTCTTTTAAAAGGATCCCAAACTCCAACCCATATTCTTCACCACACATCCATCAATTTGTGTCTACCTTGTTGTGGACATGGATTTGAAATCATGTCTCCAAGTGATGTTCATACTTGTCGCCGCCATAGCACCTCACGCCATCGTGGCGCGCCATCTTCACACCCACAAGTTGCCTTCGTCTATATTTCCCCAACATCTTGTGGGAAGTGGGAAGGGCCACAACATAGAAGGAATCCACAACGTCAGAGCCTTCCTCCAACGTTATGGTTACTTGAGTCCAAATGTGGAGACCAAAGGCAACGCCTTTGATGACAACTTGGAGTTTGCCATTAAATCATACCAAAAGTTCTTCAACCTCAACGTGAGTGGCATTTTGGATGCGGAGACTTTGGAGCTAATGTCGCAGCCTCGATGTGGAGTTCCCGACGACGGGAACGGGGACAGGGATCACCCCATAGGACTTCATTTTTCAATGATTTGAAACCGAAATGGTCGGCGTCCAAATACCATCTGAAACACATTTCTTAGGAGTTTTTCGGAACAGTACAAGAGTACAGTGGTTCAAGCCATGATCAGCTGGAGTTTAAACCGTGTATTTGCATTCTCAGAAGGTAGTACGGACAACACACATGTTAGAATAAGCTTTGAAGTAGGAGACCATGGAGATTTATAAAAAAATTCAAAATTTTCTAACTATCTATTTTTTTAAAAATAACATGAACACCTCATAAATTATCTCCCAATTTTTGAACGCTGGAGTATTTTTTTTAAAAAAAATTGTGATACTCTCCTTTGGGCCTTTAAAAAATAAAAAAAATAAAAAATAGATAAATAAATAAATTGAGAGGAAAGAGAAAGATATTCTTATATATATATATATATCATTCAAGATGAATTGGCTAAAAAAGAGTTATTTTCTTTCATTATTTGAGCTCGGATTCTTTATTCTATGGCATTTAGTAGTCGTAATCAGAATCCATATAGAGCTTTAATTCCATTGATATCATCAGCTTGCAGGTCTTTCTTGACCGTTCCAGAACTAATGGATGGGTACATGATGGCCTGTGGAACAGTGCTGTGTCCAAGCCCAAGGATGTGCCCCATCTCATGCACCGCCACACTTTCCAAGTCAAATGCACCAGGAGCAGCGCCAATGACGTAAGGGTCATCCGCGTCGAAGTGAAGCCTACCGTCCGTCGGTGCAAAGGCATGGGCCAGCGTGCCCCCCTTACCATCAAACGAGTATCCATCTCCATGGTTCAGTCTCGCAAAGGTTATTGTGATGTCTGCAGGGGCAGAGCTGGGGACCTCTGTAAATGTGAAAGGGGTGACTGCCGCCCACCTGCCGCAAGCGCTAGCCACAGGGGGCTTCCCGTTAGTTGGGAAGCCCGTAAGGAATTTATAGTTGAGATTGCGTTTGGAAGGAGGCCATTTGGGGTTGCCTTGGAAGAACGAGTAGCGAGAAACCTTGTGGAATTTGATACGATGTTGGGTTTTGTTGTAACTCTCTTCAGCCCAACATCCATCTGAACCAGGGAACAACGACAACACCACAAGGACAACCCCCAAAAACAACGTTATTTTAAAAGCTTTCGAGGATGCCATTGTTATATGCAAAATACTACACAATTTCCACCCTATTTATATACCCAACAAACAATGTTCTACTTTCACGTTCTTGGTTATTTTAATACGCATTTTTAATGGCATTAATTACTTGCGTAAATATATTTAGCACTGGAAGGTTTAAAAATGAATGTTCGTACATGCTTCATTTTTTTATGGATATTTTCTCCATAAAAGTCAACTCTTTTTATTACATGTTCATCTTCGTTATTTTATGAATATATGTCATGTTTGGAAAATTAAAAACTATTTAATTATATTATTTCTTCCAAATTTACGAAAGTTTTAAGGTATTGAAAATTTTCGAATGAATGGGTTCGAAGTTCTTACGGAAAATTTTCGTAAAGTAAATTTTTCAGAAAAAAAAAAAAAAAAAAATAATATTGATAATTTGGTTTTGCAAAATTTATAGGCTAATTGTGTTTGGCATAGCGTTTATAGTTTTTAATGAGAGAGTTGAAAAATTAGTGAAAGAGGAAGTTCAAAGAGTTTTGCCTTTTTCTTTATCATTCCACCCTTTTAGACCAATATTAATTTTCTACAATTCCATTCAAAATATTTTCTATAATTGAATCTCACTAGTTTTATAATTGAAAAAAAAAAAGGCAAAAGGAACCGGATCTTATTTTTGCCACTATAGGTGCTTGATGGTTTTTTAGAACGGGTCACGAATGTTTAGAATAGAATCCAATCATATAACCAAATCATGTGATACAAATGATTGAGATGAGCCCAACAAAGTTAAAAGATAAATAGTGGATGAAATAAAACACGTTTAACCATGTAGTCTCTATTATTGAGCCACCAAAATGGAGAGTGCATATTGTTAGTATAGGCAGTGACTTCATTTTCTTTAAGCTTTTTTTAGTAATCTTATCTTAAGGATGGTTGTGATTCGAATGTAGTCTCGATTCATTCATGTAATGTAATGTAATTAAACAACGAAAAATTTTTAAAAAATGATAATTTCCTTGATTTTTTTATTCTTAGTCCTCCTTTCATTAATATATGTGTAGTGCATTAAATAATTAATTTGAACTTAAAATGTGTCTTAAAACTACAGGCATAGCGCATGGTCCAAACTAGTATATATATATATATTTATCATACTATGATAACAAAAGTAACAACTTTTCTAAAAATTAAAAATAAATAAATAAATAACAACAACCAATGAAATACCTGACTTCTTTCTACGTGATTGTTGACCCCTCCCTTGGAAACGAGAAGGATAAGGGACTTGGTCGTCAATCTAAGACTTTGACGAACGAAATTGTCACTTTGGGTAGCAGTTGACCCATCGTAGGTGGATGCAATAGGATCGACCTGTGGCCCAAGTGGTTAGGAT